ACTAGAAACAACACCAGAATGTTTCCTTCCTGCCTCCCTTAACAGCCCTGTAAAGTGGGAAAAAACAAAAGATTTCTTCCAACAACCGGTTCTCTGAACTGCTTAGAAAGTTACCAACCGGTTCTCCCGAATAGGTGCGGACTGGCTGAATCCCACCACTGGTCCCGACCCACAGTTTGAGAACCACTGCTCTAATCCTTTAACACAGAAAGTCATTGCTGTAACGTTTCCCCAGTGAGATTAATAGAAACTTCAAGATTAAAAGGATGAGATTTAGACTGGGGGGAATGACATGGGTAGAGACAGCAATAAGGACTAAAACTTCTGCTCACAAACCAATGCCAAGCCCTCAGCAGTTGTTGCTTTTTAAAGATGCAGAATCTGCAGTTTGAAGCAATTGCTCTCTCTTGCCTTTTTGCAGGTGTCTTGCTCTAATCAGAGACCGGGCAAGTGGGAACCCGCATCCATTGTGTCATCCTCTTACTCCTCGGTAATCCTGCAGAAGCCAACCTGTCCGGATGGCATAAAAGGCTTGCGCTACGCCTGGTCCGAATGGCCCTGTGAATACAAACAGTGCCCCATTTACAATCCACAGGATTTGCCTGCCCCTCCCTTCATTACATTTTCCCTCAATAACCCTGCATGGATTTTGCTGTGAGTGAGCTGAGAGTGGAAAGAGGAATCAGCAGCTTATTTTGCAGACAAAAGGAAATGTGGTGCACACAGCCACAGCTTATATTTCTTAAAGCAGTAAAGCTCTCAGGTCGATGACCGCAGAGAAGAATTTTAAAAACGAGCAACCCAGTTACTTACTTGCCAGAAAGGTCATAGTAGGGAAGGTGGATCAGATGTTGGCGGTTCTTACTCTTGCTACCCGCCTGCGGTGCCGTAATAACCGGGATTACTTTGTAAGTACTTCACTAGAAATCAAACCCCTTCTAAAGGAACCCCTGGTTACCTGCACACAACCAAGAGAGCCAGGATTCTGAACGACAAGGCATGATGGGTGATCAATAAAAGATTCCTCTGGGAACATTGACATTCCAGTGCATGTTTAAACATAAGCCCTTCTGAATTTAGCAGGCCAAGCTCCCAAGTACAGAGACGAGTTGGATGGGCCATTTGTAAGATGCCATGCTGGTCCAGCCATTTGCTCTTCTCTTGTCTGCAGCTGATCTGCAGAGGAGTGTTATCGGGAAAACAGGGAACAAATACTCAACATTCTCCCCCTCCCACTCTCCTAGGCAACTTATAACAGGAGTAAGCCTAATACAAGCCACAGCTTTGTGCTAAAAGGAATGACAGAGCTATGGCATTCCAGATGTTGCTGGATGTCCTTGGCAAGGTGAGTGATGTTGGCAGATGCATTAAAGCGATATCTAGACTCTGTATCTTGTCTGCCCTGAACTACTATTGACCTCCAGATTAAAATAAGTGTCTTGGGATTCACTGTGTTCCAGATTTACCTTACGTCTACTATCACTTGCAGCAAATAAGTCTTGCAGTAAAAAAAACCTCCACTTTCAAATATAAAAAGGTTACATTAAAAACGCAATATTGCTTTACAAAAAATAAGAACATAGGAGTATATTTCTTTTTTCAAGCAAAATCTGTGGCTTCAGATAAAATCCAGGGAGGCTTCCGCTATGTTGGGTTTGGGTCAACTTGATCATCTCACTTGTGTATGTATGTATGTTGTATGTTTGTCTTAGATGAGCAACCTGCCAAATCGATTGATCTGGTTATGTTAAACCAAAGTAGAAAATGGGAAACAATTGATTTATAGAGTTGTTCCCTGGATCAGAGTGAAGTTGGGTATAGTGTTTAGACCAGAGGTCTCCAAACTTGGCAATTTTTAAGTCTTGTGGACTTCAACTCCCAGAATTAGACAGACAGACAGACAGA